AATGGACTATTTCTCTGCTTGGGCATTAATGGAAGTGTGTTCTGCTTTTTTTCCAGAAATATTTAAATAAAGATCTCTCTTTAGCCTTTTCCATGAAGGCACTTTTCTTTTGGTTTCCAGTTGCTGGCATCTAAGCCTCTTGGATCCCTGCTTATATAAAGTCTTAATAATGCCTTTTTTTCTTATAGATGTTTAATCACGCTCGCTACCCTCAGTGTTAGCAAGTTTTGGTAGCATTGTTCAGATTCCCCTAGGGCTCCGTGGTGTTAGGTCTCAGAGGGTATGGGGGGAGGGGCCCTATGTGTTGGGGGTTGGTGACTGCAGCTCAGCCTGTTTTGCAACCACAGCAGTAAAATTCAGCTGTTGTTTCTCTGCCGTCCCGCTTTTCTGCTTTCTGCCCTGATGACTGGGCCCTGCCTCCGGCTGCATGGAACTTACAACTTTCTGAGGCAGGGCTGTTCAGGGAACTCACCACACCTTCTCCTCTCCCCCTCCTCTTACAGGGAGCTCCGGAAGCTGCAAGTGGCAGCTTCTTTATTTCTCCCAGTCCACTGCCCGACACTCGGGGTTCTGACCTGCACAGATCCCATGCTCCTAGGTGTGCAGTTTGGGTGTTTTTTGTTGTTGAGTTTTATATGTTCAGCTTATTGTTGTTTTAAGGTGAGAGATCTGGGGATGTCTCTCACTCTGCCATTCTTAATCAGACAGTTATAGTGCAGTTTCCAGGAATGAAGCAATAAGCAAATGAACAATCTTTTGATCTGAATCCAGGTGTCTGTCACTCACATTCTTGCTAGTTCTAGTTTTCCTGTTTCCCTGGAGGGAAGACTAGAAGGTGGTGCTGCTCTCCCCAGGTGGACCATGCAAGGCACACACATGTCCTCTTGCTGCCACTGTTCTTGGAGGGACAGCCCCTTTGGGGTGCTGAGCCCCACCTCTCAACTGAGGACCACCTGAGGGGGCTTGCCCAGCTGCAGCCTCAAGTTGCTGCTGTTAAGTCCTGCAGCTACCGCTGCTGGAGGAGGAGGAGGTGTGAAATGCATTTAACAGTAACATTTTAGAGCCTCTGCAGTAGGGGATAAGTTGACTAGTGGCATTTCATGGGAGGCTTCATGGAAACGTCCTTTGGGATGGGATGGGATTTACGAAGGACAGACCGTAGAGGTGGAACCTCCATTTTTGCTTTGAAGTCCATCAGAGATTTCCCCCTTCCATTAGAGGTAGCAGAGTTTAATACACGCTTTCCAGGAACAGGAGAATTTGTGGAACCGAGGGGTAAATAACATAAAAATTTTTGGTGAAAAGGTTTTATTTTCATAGTACGTCCTAAAGAAATGAAAGCTTTATAAATGATAAAGACTTTGTACTTGCCTTTGAGTAATTCTTAAGCAGAGACAGAGAAAAGGAACCTTATGAAGGATGCCCTGGCACATGAGCTTAGAGGGAGAAGTCTGGACAATCAAAACCTACGGGCATCCAGACCAGAACAGAGACAATTTTAATCTTACTGGCATTAATTCCTAAATTGAAGAGGATATTAGATGTTTGTACAAGGTTATTTTGTGATAGTAAAAGATTGGAAACAACTTAATTACTGTCAGTAGAATGGTTAAAAAAAAAAATTATGGCACATTCACACAATATGTGGCTGTAAAAAAAAATTAAGAAGCTTCTCTATATATTGATACGATTTCCAAGATAAACTGTCAGGAAAAAACATGGGGAGGGGGGCAGAACTGAGTATAGTGTACTATTATTTATGTAAAATAGAAAAGACCATATGCATAAAATATTGGCAGCTGGTAACACAGCTTGCCTTCAAAGCGGTAAGACTGGGTGCCTGTGGCACAGGGGTGGGACTTTTACTGATAACATTTCTATCTTTTGAATTTTGAAACAATATATTCCCAGTATAAAAAAAAAAAAAAAACATGTAAAAATTAAAACTAGTAACAACAAAAAAAAGCGGGAATTGAAAATACCAGAATTCTGCTACACATTTGTATTTTGCCAGAGAGATGTGCTTAAGTTCACTCTTTAGCAAAATTTATGTAACAATTCATTCCATAGTGATTTTCAGTCATTCTCAATAAATTCACATGCAGTGACCAAAATTTGAACAATAAACTCTTACAGGCATTATTTTAGATATTTGACATGGACATTTGGCTAAATGGACTCTTGATGATTGGAGTAAAAATTCTACTCAAATTAGGCAATAGAAAATACGTTTTAAATTGTGCAAATCCTGTTCCAGAAATTCCATGTTTAGGAATTTAAGAAACAGCCATGTATGTGGAAATTAGCTATAAAAAAAAGAAAAAACTTGTAAATAACTTGTGTCCTACAATATAAATCACTTAAGTTATGATACATACATAAAGATGCTATGAGCTATTTAAAATGTTATGAAAGAATATTTGACATGAAAGTTATCTTTACAATAAATGAAAGAGCAGTTTACAAAATAGTATATAGTATGTTTATATTTTGAGAAAATTTATATATTTTAAAGCCTGGCATTATATATACCCAAGGAGTGATGTTATCCATTGGGTAGCCATTTCTTCTTTTTTGCTTGTCCATATTTTCCAATTTTTCTACAACGAACATACTTATAATTAAACATACCGTGGTGGTTTAAAATGTATCTACAAATTGACACACCTTTCAAAAGGAGGAGCCTGATTTCTCTCTCCTTGAGTGTGGGCTAGATTTAATGACTCATTTTGAATGGACAGAAAAAAGCAGAAGTGATGGTGTGCAACTTCGAGACTAGGTCACAAAAAGTACTGTGGCTTCCTCCTTGCTCACTCTTTCACATCACTTACTCTGGGAAAGCCAGCTGTCACATCATGAGGATACTCAAGCAACCTAATGGAGCATCTCATGTGGTAAGGAAGTGAGGTCTTCTGCCAGCAGCCACATAAGTCTTCTTGGAAGCAGCCTTCCAATGACTAGTCTTAGCCAACAGCATGATTGCAACCTCATGAGACTCTGAGCTAGAACCACCCGGTAAAATCACTTCCAATTCTTAACCTATAGAAACTGAGGTAAGTGTTGTTGTAAACCACTAGGTTTTGGAGTTATTACATAGCAATAAGTAACTAATACACAATTTCTAGTTACTATATTTCAATTATAAAAGTTCTAGTAGCTAAAATGAGCAAAATCTAGTTAGAACACATTGTAGTGTGTTACTTTAATATGGCTTTTGTCTGCCTGAGTATGCTGTACTTTACAAGAGGAATTGTGTGGGAACTGATGTTTGAGAAATCGATTCTTACATTCTAAATGTAGGTTTTTTTGTTTTTCTTTTTTTGATACCTAAGACATACTTATATACAGTGCCTTGCATGTATGAGACAAAAAAGAAAGAATTTTTTAAATTGTTCCCCTAAAAACACAAAATACTGTATGAACAAGTAAAGTGTTTATATGAATTTCTGTAAGATTTCAAAGGAATGGACATTCAATGTGGATGAGGGCTTCAGGAAGAAAGTGGCACTTAAGTATAAGTGGAATTAGTTTCAGGATTTAAATTGTAAAGGGAGAAAAGGACATGCTAAATTGGACAACACAGATTTAAATGAAGAAGCAGAATTGTGGCGAGTTCAGAGGACAGAAAACCTATGTCAAGAAACACAGTTTAAAAAAAAACAAAAAAAAACCCTGTGTTTGGAAGTTGTGGGTCAAAATTTCAGAAAATCCAAAAGATTTCCAACACAGTATCAGGAACCTAGGCTTTTTATCCTATAAGGTTAGTCCGTGAGGATTTTATATGATTAAAATGGTCTTCAGGTAGATTAATCTAGATATGGTGTCTGAGACATAGCAGAGGGATACTAGGGGTAAAGAAAAAAGTCCTCAAGGCTAAGACAGTGGCAGTGGAAACATCCTTAACTGAGTGCTTATTATATACCAGACACCAGGAGCTTTACATGCATTTCTTTTATGCCTCATGAGAACTCTTAAAATAGGTACCATATTATCTCCATTTTCTAAGTAAGAAAACAAATGCTTAGAGAGTTTAAGCAGCTTGCCTAAGTCAGTAAGTTGTTTGACTCCCAAGCCAGGACTCCTACCATACCACACCGCCTGGATGTTGGAGATATTTTTTAAAAATAAATGAAGTGAAATAATTTAAGATGCCTTGACTAAAGGAGGAGGGTAAACTTAAAAAAAGTTACCATTTATTGAGCATCTATTACATGCCAAACCCTTAACTGTGTCATGTTTTATATATTTTATCTATAACCATAGTTTGGCAAAGTAATCTAATATCATTCCCATTTTACAAATGAGAAGCCTGAGCTTGGTGGAATTTGAAAGCAGTTACCACTCAGAAATTTGTTTTCTGCCAGAGTGATGAACAGTCATAGCTAGGATTACAACTCAGGGTGCTCCTTCCAGTACACCATCCTTCTCTCCTAACCAAGGACTCACCACTGGGCACAGAGGCCTGACGGAAGGCATTCTGAAGACAAAGTAAAGCTATCCTGCCAGATTCTGCATAATTTTTAAACAACTCTTGTCCTTGGACGTGGAGTTTGTGGATGGTTGTGCATCACGGAACATTGTCTACAGTTGAGGAAAACCGCAATACTGGAGTGAATGCTTTTCAGTAGGTTATGCCGGTCTTCTTTCTAACCAGCTGTGTGACCTCTGGAAAGTTATGTGAACTCTGAGTCTCAAGAATCCCCTTTATAAAATGGACGTTAACAGCCTCTACCTCAAAAGATTGTTGTAGAATCAGTAGTGCAGAGAACACAGCAGCTAGGTTCAACACACTATTACAATTTATAATACTCTTATTCTGGCAAACAAATATTAAAACTGCATAGTAGTCTCTGACACTTAGGTTAAAATCTTGTATAAATTCCTACCTTTGTTCTCCCCTCATTCATCTTTGTGACCTCTTCTTACACAGAACTCAAATATTTGTGGACTAAAAAAGGAGTTACCATGGTAATTAAAAAAAAAAAAAAAAAACCCAGAAGTTAAAATGCCATTCTTGCTGCTCTTTTAATTAAAAATCCTAAAAAGGCATACCCACTTGGATGTTACTTAATTAACAATCAGTAAGGAAAAGATACTAAAACAGGAAACTTAAGCGATGTCGAAAAGAAATTGTTGACCAACATGGATTCTCTCCCCCTTAGGACCACAGTTACAGCTGGAGTAAGAGAAAATACTTTTATCAGGTCCTTCGGGTATCCTGTAGAAAATCAGACAAAAACAAAAATCAATTATTTTCTTTAGTCTGAGCATAAGCACTGGAAGTAAATCCCTCACTTGTATTTTTAAAAAATGTTTCCTAGCCCTTTCTTCTACCCAACTATAAAATTCCAAAAGGTAGAGTTTTCCACCATTCCAACTGCAGTCAGGAGATAGGCTGACGGCTAAGGGGGGGGTCCAGCTATGACTCGCTAACGTGTGACCGCCTCAGAAGGGGACGACTGTGCCCCCCCGGTCGAGTTGGGGGGAGCCGACGGGAGCGGTGGCCGGGGTAGCCCGCCGAGCTCAGGGTGCTTCCCTGGGCCCTAAGTCGCCGCCCGTACGCACCGGCGCTCAGACGAGGCGAGTGCGCGGCGGGGGCTGCAGTTGGCGCTGACGACGTTTGCGTTGGCCGTTGAGGAGCTTCTGCGTGATCTTGCGCTCGTGGCCACCAGGCACCGGCCAGTTGGTGCGCAGTTCCCGCTCGCGCCGCGACCGACCCTTGCTGCGCCCGGCACCGCAGGCTGGGAAGTCGCGCAGGTAGTAGTAATCCAGGCAGTCGTAAAGCTCCTCCTCGGAGTTCACCCGCGGCCACGCCTCGGGTAGAGGAGGCTGGACGTGAGCCCGCGCGCTAGCAACAGCGCGGTCCATGGCGCCGAGCCGCCTGGCTGCCCGCCCCCGCGCGGGCGCGGGCGCGCGCTCCCTGGATGGTCTCGTCCCGCGCTGCGATTGGCTCCGCCAGAGGGGCGGGCCTAGTCCTGACGTCACAAAGCGGGAGTCGTACCGGGAGCCCTCTGAGCTCCAGGTCCGGGCTACGAGCTCCTTTTTTCTGACGGTGCCTGTGTCCACTGGGCCTAGAGGAGCAATTGGCAAAATCCAGCCGAGCACTTCGTTTGTGTCCATCTAAAATGGGAAACTATACAAGTGTCCAACAGTGGGGGACTGCTTAAAGAAATTTGGGGCTGTGCATTCCTCCAGAGGACTTTTATCAGCAATAAACATTTTGTTAGGTTGATGACATGAGAAAACACTCATGATGTAAAGTGAAAAATTAACTTCTGAAGAAATGCCTTTAGTAGCCCAGGAACGTATTTTAGAAACATCTGTCTACAAAAGACTGAAAGGAAATAAATTTTTGGCTTGTAGTGTTACGAACTTAGGTCCAGACGCTTGCTGCTGGTAAGCCAATACCCTGAGGGACAAGAGTTTGGTCTAAGGAAAACAATTTTATTGGAGAGCCTGCACCTTGAGAAGTTGGGGCACTGCTGTCACAAAGGCCTTGCCACTTCAGTATAGGCAAGGATTATTATAGGGAGAGGACTGAGTAAGAGACAGAGAAATTCAAAAACTCCAGGGAGAAGGTAGCATCATGGAGGGGAGGGGCAGCCAAGGCCATCTATCTTGTCTTTTTGGCCTTGGCTTGTTTCTCGGGACACCTGGAGGAGAGGCCAGTGGAACAAAGGAATTAAGGTTGGGAGCTCCTCTTTTCATGCACAGGTTAGCATGTAAACTCTCCTTCATATCCTACTCTGATAAGCAACCTGGAGCTGGTCAAGTGGAGGCCTGGAGAAGATTTTGCAGCCAACCTGGCACTAACTGGTCTGGGGACCAAGCCAGCTCTCTTTGAAGTCTGTTTCTAGAGTTCTCAATTAAACTGTTTATCTACAAGTTAGACCTTAGTTAACAAGGCATCTTTATGTACATAAAATGAGAGTGAGATTGTAAGGTCTAAAAGGAAAAAGAATGAAAAAGGTTACAATCATAAGAATGAAGAAGAATTTTCCACCAAAAGGCTAACCTTATAATCAGCTCTTTGTTCTGCTTCTGTAGGCATGCTTTCTGCATAGGCCGAAGGGCAGAGTGATCTTGAGACCAACTGAAGACTCACCCTCCCCTTTGATTGTTCAGTATAGATAACAGACGTATTGCCTAAGTTCCTGTCTGAAAAATCTCATGCTCCGTAACTGCCACAGCCCTTAGCAACTCCTGCGAGCGCCTGTAACCTATAGAAACTCCCGCGGTCAGTAATCGGCTGAGGACAAATTAACCAATCGGCCCATCCGAACTAAGCCCCATAAAAGCAAAGTTGCATCTGAGCTCGGGCCCCAGATCTTCGGCTTACTAGCTCTTCTGGGACCGCCAGCATAATAAACCTGAGTGCCAAAGTTAGAGTCAAAAGTTTATTAGAAAAGGGATAACACTCCACAGACAGAGTGTGGTCTCCTCTCAGAGGCAGAGAGTGAGAGGGACAGTGAGGGGGACCAATAGAGACGGGGAAAGGCAGTGAGTAGGGGGCTGAATGTTCAGGGAATTCAGTTTACATATCATTCTTTAGTTCCTGTGATTTATAGTTTAAAAGAATTTGTTAACTCATTTCCTTTGACATGGACATACAGTGAGGAAGGGGAAGAGTATGTAGCATGAAAATAATGTAGGGAGGAGGCAAGAGAATTAAAATGTTAATAAAGTCACAATCAGAAAAATGGTGTAGATGACAGAGGCTCTGATCATCCCTCTGGTGACCAAATCAAAGTTCTGACGGAAACAAGGAGCAAGCAGCAAGGAAAAATCTCCTGGGATCTTGATGAACAAGCCATACAACTAGGGAGAAATCCAAGAAATCACCCTGCAATGGCAGAAGGTAGGATGGGGTGAGGACTCAGGGCTGCCCTGTCTCAAGCTGCTGAGTGAGAAGGAGGCTGCTCAGTGGCAGTGATAGTGGCAGTGACAGACTCCTCTTAAAGGGGCCGCAACCATGAGAGGATTTTCGCTGTGTCGGACCTGCTTGCTCTGAGCACCAGTGCTGATTCGGCTGCATGCAGGGGTCACCAGGAACTTACAGGGAGACATTGTCAGAGTGAGGGCCAAAGCAAGACTCGCTCTGTACAAAAGTGCTGGCAATATCCATTGTTCCCTGTTGAGCCATCCCTCCTCCCAGTGCGTGGATACAGCACTGCCATAGCCATGACGTCATCAAACTGGATAACAGAGGTCGTTCCACCCAGAGCATTGCCTGATACTCTGCCTCCTCCAACTTGAGGGCTCACTCAAACCACATCCAGGTATATCCTTAGCAAGTCAGGTGCTCTTTGCTCAGCAGCGCCTAGACTCACACTGGAGGCAGCTGGCCTCGGTTTCCGGTGTGGCCCTTTGAGGCAACTATAAGCATAACATCTGTGGATTGCTTGCCAAATCTTAACAGGTGGCCCCGGAGGAGCAGAGGCTTGGGCTAAATTTGGCCTGCAGCTGAACCCCTCTCAGGACTGTGCCACTGGACACCTACTTCACAAATCCACACTAATAAGACTGGGAGAATGAGGAGCTTTGCTTAGTATATAGAAACAGACACAGAAAGGCAGCCAAAATGAGAAGACAAGCAGAAACCACATGAGAGAACAGAACAGAGATCCAGATATAATGGAGTCAAGTAATGTAACTGATGCAGAGTTCAAAACCCTCGTTTAAAGATGCTCAATGAACTTAAGGAAATATAGATGAATTCAGTGAGAATTTCAACAAAGAGATAAAAAGCATAAAAATGGAAATGGAAATTATAAAAGGGAACCAGTCTGAAATGAAGAACACATCTGAGATGAAAAGTGTATTAAATGGAATAAATAAAGGAATAAACAAAATGAATAAAGAAAAGGGTCAAATGCCCTATCTAGAGGATGGGAAAGCCAAAGACACTCAATCTTGCCATTCTGCAAGAAATAAGATGCCAAGACTATAAAAATAATTTAAGGAGCATATGGAACACTATCCAAATATCTGTCTGATCAGCGTACCTGAAGGAAAACAAGATGTTGAACAGCTGTTTGAAGAAATCATGTTGGAAAACTTCTCTAACCTGGTGAAAGAAATGGACATACAACCCAGGAAGCTCAGAGAATCCCAAAAAACAAGGATCCAAAGAGGCCCACACCAAGACACATCATAATTAAAATGCCAAAAGTTAAATACAAAGAGTGAATATTAAATGCAGCTAGAGAAAAGCAGATAGTTGCCTACAAGGAAACACCCATAAGAATGGCAGCTGATTTCTCAAAAGAAACTATGCAGGACAGAAGGACTTGGCAAAAAATATTCTACGTGATGAAGACCCAAGATCTACAACTAAGGATACTTTATCCAGCAAAGCTATCATTTAGAGTTGAAGAACAGGTAAAGAGCTTCCCAGACAAAAATAAGCTAAAGGAATTTATCAATGTCAAGCCAATATTACAGGAAATGTTCGAGGGACTTCTTTAAGAAGAAAAGACGTATCAAAAACAGGAATAAAGAATGGTAACAACTACATTCCTATCAATAAGTACCTCAAATGGAAAAGAAGTGCTACAACCAAAAGATAGAGTGGCTGAAAGGATAAGAAAACAAGACCCCTATCTATGAAAAGGAAGGGGATGAAAAAAGATATTGCTTTGATGGACCTAGAAGGTATTTAAGTCAGACAGAGAAAGATAAACACTATATTATTTCACTTATATGCGGAATCTAAGGAATAAAAAGAACAAACTAATCAAAAACAGACTCACAAATATAGTGGACAATTTGGTGATGGACAGAGGGAAGGGGGTTTGGGGAGATGGGAGAGTGGGATGAAGGGTTAAAGAAGTACAAATTATTAGCTGAAGAATGGTCATGGGGTTGGGGAGCACAGCATAGGGAATGCAGTTAGCATTAATATGTTGGCTAAGTGGAGAGTCAGGGGAGGGAGAGAGCAATTGGGATAATTTTATGAACTATATAGATGTCTAAGCAGTGTACTGTATACTTGAAACTAATTAAAATAAATAAATTTAAAAAATAAAAGTAAAGCCACAATCAGAGACTGCAATATGCTGATCAGTCCTGCAGCCAGACCAGGAGGACCCCTTCAGAACAGAGGAAGATTTCTGCTGGGATTGCTAACAGCCCATTCCCCACACCTGTGAAGAGGAAACAGGAACCAAGAGTCTCTTGTAGGGCTAAAACCATGGGGAACCTATGGATTAAAGGCGGGAACTGCCAGCAGGCCTTTCACTCTACGTATTCTTACCTTTTCAGGCTACATATTTGTCCCCTTCCTCAATCTATGTCCATAGCAAAGGAAATGGGAACCAAAGAATAACATATAAACTGAATTTCCTGAACACTCAGGGTCTCTTTCAGTGCCTTTACTCTGTCTCTTGCACTGATATCCAATGGAGGAAATTGGACGCTCAGACAACTTCAGTAGAGGAGAATTTATTAGCTGGCGGAGCACGTGGGGCTTAACAACACCAAAACACGAGCTCTTCTTGGGTAGATTTCTTACAGCTATATACCCTTGCAGTGTCCATGCAAGGGGGGCGTGATTCCTTTATCTGAGGTTCTCATGCACCTCATGAGTCAGGATGGAGAGGGGGAGTTTCAGGTGGGGGTTGCCAGGGGGAAGGAATTTCCAGACCACTGGTCTTACCTATTTCCAGGTCCTTTGTCTTGTAGGTGTGACAAGAGTTTCCAGAGGGCCATTCAGAGATCTATAGGATGTGGTTAATCTAGAACCCCGAGTCAGTCATTTCTCTAAGACCTTTCCTTTGTATTTTTCAGATGCCCCCTCTCCTCTCTTAGTACTATCCTTCTCTCTCTCTGCCTCTGAGAGGAGACCACACTCTGTCTGTGGAGTGTTATTCCTTTTCTAATAAACTTTCCTTTTCATTCTAACTTTGG